ACTTCCGCCGAGGGAGAAAATGCAGGAAGAAAAAAACCCCATCATTTTCGGGGGAGGAAGGGGGGGGGCGAAGGATAAAATAAAGATAGAGGGGAAATTACAGCTAGAACTATAACAATGATACTAACTAACTATAGGTATGTAGATTAAGACGATAGTCTTAACAGACTGCCAATGGCTCCATCTCTAGCTAGTACAGTTGAGAAGGAACTGAGGAGGGTTTGCCCACGCACACTGGCTAGCCTCATGGCAGAGCAGGAGGAGAGAGAGCACATGTGTGAGCCCAGCAGACACTGCTACCAAAGTTGTGACGTTATTGATATAATCTGGAACCATATAGAACATGGTTGCAACCAAAGTCCTGTAGTGGCATCAAATCTTGTATAAAGGGGGTCAAATGAGGTGTCTAAGACAAGGTTATGGTTTGCTGGTTATGATTATGCTTTCTATATGTGTGTACCAATTTTGCAGTTGAAGTTATAATTATTGGTTCTATACTGTCTGTATTTCAAACTTACGCTATGCTTCTGGGAAACATCCCAGACAAGTTGGTGTTAGCTCTGCCTAGCCTGCTTGATGGCCCACTAAGGACCATCAGCTATACAATTGACCCATTGAGAGCCGGCAGATACGCCTTGCAACTCAGCAAAGTATGCAGGAACTGGCCCATGTGACTCCAGACTCCATTCTGCTGTAATTTTCCACAGTAAGAACAAAGAGGTGTTCTTACACCTGGAAAAGACTATAAAAGGCTGATGCCTCATCTCCATCTTGTCTGCAATCCTGCTTCTTACCTCTGGAGGGATTTTGCTACAAACTGAAGCGCTGAACAAAGGACTGATGACCCATCCCAGCTGGGGATGTATTCCAGAGACTTGATTTGAACCTGCAGTTTATTCTATCGCTGCTGCAAGCCTGTACTAAGAACTTTGCCATTACTGTATGTAATTGATTCCATTTAACCGATTCTAACTCTCTTCTCTATCTTTTTCCTTTTAGGAATAAAAACTTTAAAATTTAGATTCTAAAGGATTGGCAACAGTGTGATTTGTGGGTAAGATCTGATTTGTATATTGACCTGGGTCTGGGGCTTGGTCCTATGGGATCAGGAGAACCTTTTTTCTTTTACTGGAGTATTGGTTTTCATAACCATTTGTCCCCATAACAAGCGGCACTGGTGGTGATACTGGGAAACTGGAGTGTCTAAGGGAATTGCTTGCATGACTTGTGGTTAGCCAGTGGGGTGAGACCAAAGTCCTCTTAGTCTGGCTGGTTTGGTTTGCTTTAGAGGTGAAAAAACCACAGCCTTGGGCTGTAACTGCCCTGTTTTAGCAATTTGTCCTGAATTGGCACTCTCAGTTGGGTCCCGCCAGAACCGCATCGTTACAAAAGATCACAGCCTCTCTGATCAGCGGTGCAGGGATGCAAGCACACCTACAGTGGAGTACCCATAGGGACTCTATTCAAAGAAAACCAGACACTGCCTGATTGGTAGGTACTGCTTCTCTTTCCAAGGTCACCAAATTGGAGGGCTTGAAATACAATCTGGAAATGGAGGGGAGCCCCATGGATTACAAAGAGGCCACTTGACAGACCCAGCCCCCAGTGAACTCCTGGCCAACCACTCAGTGGTACTCCTATGAGTGGATCCATGGAAGAGTGGAAACATCTGGAGAAGGAGCAATGGCAGTGGCTCCGAGGATGAGAAATGTAGAACAGAACCTCTGATTCAGAAGACAACAGTTCTCCTTCCCTTGACCACAGAGGTGCAGTTTCAGACTACGATGGTGACTAGTGCTGAGGTGGAGAGGCCCACAGAGAAGCGAACATTGCAAGTTTTCCCTTTGACAGTATTGAAGGACAAGCAGTCAGGGGTACATGAGGCTGGCACAATATCACACGTAGCAGCAATGTTATCTGTTCTCCCGTGTCTGCTGGCACCAACAATATCGATTCTTGTACTGTTGGTGATACCAGCATCAACAGGGTCGGGATGTTCCTGGCAGCCACAAATGCCTCCGGCATGGTCAATATCGGGATAGTGTCATTGTGGTGCCACAGATGCAGAAGGAGCTCCTTCTGGCTCCGGACTCAATGGAAACTGCCTAGGAATTGGAGTCAACAATGTCTTATTCTACAGTACCAAAGCAGGAGAGAGCTTGGGCTTGGACAGCAGTCTACTCTTATCCCCCTGCCTAGCAGACTTTGGTGCCAGAGATCTCCCGCTTTTGGCAGTCTGCTTCTGATGCCTCTTCTTAGACACTGGGTTTCTTAGACATAGGGTGAGCAGTATCGAGACTCAGGAACGGTAGGAGGCACACTCCTTACTGACACTCGGTGCTGACTCTGACTAACCCGGCTCAGATGGAGATCTCAAGGACGCCTTCATGAGTACAAACTTTAGCCTGGCTTCTGCATCATTCTTCATGTGAGGTTTAAAGTCTCTGCAAATTTGGCAACACTCTCCAATATGAGCTTCCTGAAGGCACTTCAAGCAACTTGAGCGCAGGTTGCTCATAGGCATAGCCTTATTGCAGGAAATGCAGGGTTTGAAACTGGGTGACCAAGGCATCTCTTGGTCCTGGAAGTTGAAAGAAATCCTGAGCTGGTAAAAAAAAATCTAACTAACTAAACAAACACTAATTATTTACAAAACAAGAAAACTCAGGTGGCTCAGGGTTAGGTGGTCCCTTTATAGCCATACCAGTGGTGCACAGCAGCAGAAGGCACTCATGACACCGTGATGGGTATTACTGAGGGAAATTTTTTTTAGCAACTGTGCGTGAGATGTGCACACATCAAGCGTGGAATGCATATGTTCAATGATTTAAAGGAGAACTAACATTTAACAAATACTTAATCTATTTACATTAGAGACTGTCTAACTATTTGCAAGTAACAATAGATGACAAAGAGAGCTGAAAGAACCAGGACTTGAAGGAACATAGGGAGCTCCAACTCCATCACAACCAGAGAGATGGAACTGAGAGGGAGTTGGAGCAGCCCAGTGCTTATACACTTCAGCTGTGAGCACAAGGACATAGTGCACATATGCATTCCCAATGGTAATGATAGCAAAAATCTTCAACTCTTGTGCACTGGTGACACATACACCCACAATGGAATGTATACATCTGCAATCACTTCAAGGAGAATGTCAAGGTTTCTTCCCCACTCTGAACTTTAGGGTACAGATGTGGGGACCTGAATGAATGACCCCCCCCCCAGCTTATTTACCAGCTTAGGTTACAGTAAGCTGCCACCACCAAGCATGTTTTAAATTTTAGGGGAGAGCCACTTGGAACTTTGCTTTCCCCCAAATATTTCCCCAGTCCCTACCCACCCTTTCCTGGCAGGATTGAGACTAATTCCCTTCCCCCCCACAAGTCCTTATAACACTTTTCCTGGGTAGACTTGAGAGAATTCCCTCACCAATTCCCTGGTGAACACCAATCAAAAACCCTTGGATCTTAAAACAAGGAAAAATCAATCAGGTTCTTAAAAGAAGAATTTAATTTAAAGGAAAAAAGAGGTGAAAGGAATACCTCTGTGAGATTAGCATGCAAGATAATCTCCCAGACAAACAGATTCAAAACACAGAGGGTTTCCCGCTGGGCAAAACTTTAAAGTTACACACAAAAAAAACAATTTCATTCTCCCTCTATTTTGCAAAAGAAATTGCAAATAGAAATAAAAGTAATTTAATACATTCCTTCTCTAATTACTAGTTACCCTGGTAGGAGTTGGATGGTTCCTTCTTTCCATCCGGCAAAAACACACATACAGAACAGACAAAGACTTTTTTTTTCTCCTCCCTTTTTGAAAGCATTTTGTCCCCACATTGGTCCCTCTGGTGAGGTGTCAGCTAGGTTATGTGAACTTCTTAACCTCTTACAGGTAAAAGAGAAATTAACCCTTAACTGTATGTTTATAACAGAGAACCACTGCTGCAAGGTGCTTTGGGCCAGTATAAGGAGAGCAGGACCCATAATCACTTGCCATTATTGACATCCAACCTGAACTCCAAAGCTAATCCACAAAGCAATTGATATCAGGTCAAATGTAGAATAAGGAGTCCTCCCCCCTCCCCCCCCCAAAAACGAGAGAGAAAACAAGGGAAGAGTATCACACATACAAGTCAGAAAAGACTCCTGAATTTAATTGATTCTCCAAGGAAGGAAGCAAACCTAATCGCCCTGTCAAAAGGAAGGGCAGAGGAGCTACTAACTGAACATGAGAACATTTTCAACTATCATTCTGTGCTTCATATATAATATGCAATGCAGATGAAGGACCATCCTGTCTCATGTGCACCAAGGGCAACAAACCCATTAAAAAAACACCTATTCTCCAAGATTACCATGATAGGATTTATAGACCCCACTGTTCAGGAAGGTGCCAGAGAGGTGGTGGGGGAAGGGATAGCCCCACTCCTCTGGTCTTGGTAGGGAGGAAGTCTTTTAAAGGGAGGAAACTGCAATCAGCTGGAGGGAGGAGGAGCAAGATTGCCCTAAGTAGAAGGCTGCTGGAGTGACTCCTGGAGCCACAGGGGGAACTCTCATCCAGGAGACCTTCTCCCTGACCCTATGGCAGTGCAGCAAACTCCCATGGTAAACTGGACAGAGTAAGCCTGATTTAGCAGCCCAGCCAGAGAGATTTCTCAAAACCCATTACACATGTGCTGTATTGTTGGCAGTGCTGTGGACCTTCTTTCCACCCATGAGAGGCCCCGAGAAGGGGAAACTCTCGGGTCACTGGGGCATTTAACTTTCCTTTTGATTCCCCCATCCACAGAGACTCAAGGAGCCCTGCAAAGGGTAGGGCCTCCTTGCAAAACTTAAGGAATTGGGGCCTGTGCTGGAGCCACACAGTGTAAATAACGGGGTGCAGTCAGATTCTCCCACCATCTGAGAGTAAAACCTTAGTGGATTCCTTTACAATGACCTTATCAAAAGACATAACTGTTGTATTACAAAATTTTAAAACCAAGTATTACTCACGGGCTAAATGACCACATGATACATTTTCCTCTTTTGGGGCATTTGCAAACACAACCTCTAGCTATATTTCGCTTCTGATCATCATGAGAGAAGCCAAGAGAATGGCCCATCTCATGTGCAATAGTGGTTGCATCAAAGAGTGCTGATTTACTTCTTGCCTGTATACAATTAAACAAAACACAAAAATTAGGAGTTCTGAATTACATATGAACATAAAAAGCCAAATTTTCAGTTATGTGATTGCATGAACACACTGGATAATTTCATTTGCAAACAAATCTAGAATACAGCAGAACCCCAGAAGAGAACTTTCAGATTGAAGGAATAATAATTTCTTCAAATTACCCTCTGAGATCCTTTTAAGAGGGGGGAAAATGAACCACTGACAAGTGACATGTCTAGCTCTGCCAAGGTTCTCAACCCATAGAATTTTACCCAATCATTCCTACATCAAATCCAGAACTTCTGGTGGTGCTAAAGCATTTCTTTTATAAGGATATCAATTCCTGATTTAAAGACTCCATGTGATGAAAAATCAACCATAACACGTATCAAACTGTTCTAATCGTTAACTTTAATGTGCCTTATTTCTCATCCAAATTCATCCAGTTTCAGATTACTCTCTTTGATAAGCTAAACAGATTGAACTTTTTAAGTCTCTCCCCTTAAAGCAGGTTTTTCAAACTGAATCATTCTTATACCTCATCTGAACCACTTCCAGGGAAAGTGGAGAACCCTTGTTTGGAAGATTAGGAGGAAGAACTTAGTCATAATGGATCACTAATATCAATGTCAGATAAGATACGAGTAGGTAAATAACTTGTACCTATTGCTTCCATATCTTGATTGTAGGAAGTCCACAATCTTTTTAATACTATTTTTAAATAATTGCACAGGACACAGACCTATCTGATTCCTGAGTTCATATTGGTGAAAGTAAGGACTAAGGCAGAAAATATGGTTTAATTTCTCCTCACTTTGGACAGTGCCTGGATATTTACTTGTAAAAATTATCCAGTGGCACAGTGTCCCCTAGGGAGCTATTATAACAAAAACTCTAAGCTCTGGGTGTATCAACTGGGGAAATATGTCTCCAGCTGAGTCACTTTCAGTTCAGAGTGTATCACAGTTCCAAAATTACTGACCCTCTTTGGGGTCTTCAATCTTCATTCAGAGCCCGGTTCGACTCCCTCCTTGAGTAGGCCACTCCGCATGTGGCCGTTGGGGGAACCTGGGCCTGCCCACTACTGTGGGTCATGACCCAGGGACCCTATAAGGAGAAGCTGCCTGCTGCATCCCTGTATTAATTGCAGCATTTCGCTGGGGCACTTCCCCACTATCCCCCATTACCTTTCCTTCACCCTTAACTAGGGCTGAAGTTTTGCTTAAGTCCCAGCAGCCAGCCAGGAGCTCCTTCTTGCTCCCCCAGTCCCTGCCAGCAACTGCTCTGTCCCTGGTACTGCAGTTCCTTGAGTCAGCCAGGAGCACCATTCTCGCTCCTCTGGCTCCTGAAAGCAACTGACTCACTCTGGTACTGCAGCTCCTTTTATATGGGCTGGCTGGGCCTGGGTTGGCTGCTTCCCAGCAGCCTCTCTAGGCCACTTAGAGAACTCACCTTCCCTACTCCTTTCTGGGATGGAGTGTGGCTGGACCACAAGGACTCCAGCAGGGGGGTTCAGGACCTGCTAAACCCCATCACAATGATGATATGATATCTTGGCTGATAAAGTTTGCAGATGGTATATTGCTGGGGAAATAAATAATGAGGGAGACAGATTACTGTTACAAAAAGATCTGAATCACCTGGGTAAATCATCGCAGTCCAACAAAATGTGTTTTAATACAGCCAAATGTAAGATAGCACTTCTGAGAAAGATTTACAAAATGCATGCTATACCTACAGCAGTGGCTCCCAAATTTGTTCCACCGCTTGTGCAGGGAAAGCCCCTGGAGGGCTGGGCCGGTTTGTGTACCTGCCGCGTCCGCAGGTTTGGCTGATTGCGACTCCTGCCCCTTCCAGCAGCTCCCATTAGCCTGGAACAGCGAACCGCGGCCACTGGAAGCCACGATCGGCCAAACCTGCGGACGTGGCTGGTACACAAACCGGCCCGGCCCGCCAGGAGCTTTCCCTGCACAAGCGGCAGAACAAGTTTGGGAACCACTGAGCTACAGGATGGAAGACTATCTTGGAAAGCAGTGATTAAGAGAAAGACTTGGGGATCATCAAGGCTAATCGCCTCAATGTGAACTGTCAGTGCAATGCTGTGGCACAAGGGCTAATGCAGTCCTTGAATGTATGAAAAGAAATGCAGGAAAAAGAGAGAGCCTGAGATATGAAGTCTGGTATAAGAGGTTTGGTGTGAGGCCTGAGGCCTGAACTAAAGTAGTGGTCAAACCCTGCTAATATAAAGCAAAGTTAGCAAAAGTCAAGCTGTGAGCAGAAGTCAGGCTCTGCCTGTGTGTAGGTTCATAGAATCTGGCAAGAACAGGGCTGGTATTGCAAAAGCACACACATTCCTGAGAAGCACTACGCACAAGATACTCACACAAGCACATTCCAGAAGGGTGGTACTAGAAGACACCAATACCGAGTATGGTAGAAACACGCTCCCCAAAGGGAACAGGAACAGGGCCGGCTCTAGGTTTTTTGCCGCCCCGAGCAAAAAGGAATTTGGCTGCCCCCCACCCCAGCCCTGGGCTCTCACCCCCCCCCCCAGTGCCCTCCTCCACTCACACCCCATGCCGCCCCAGCTCTGGGCTCTCTTCCCCGCCACACACACTTCCTACAGCCCCAGTGCTGGGCTCTCCCTCCACCCCACCCCAACCCACCCGCACCCTCTGCCACCCCAGCCCTGGGCTCCCTGCAACCTGTGCTGACTCCGCCTGCTCCCCCCTCGCCTCCAGCCAGTCTGGCGCTGGCAGAGTCGGGGGAAGCAGTGAGGCTCCTGGGCCGTGCCTCTGCCCAGGGTCCCTCCAGCCAGGGCTCCCGCCTCCAGGTCCGGCCAGGACCTGGGAGGGCAGAGCTGGGGAACCGCCCCGGCAGGGGGCTGAGGAGCAGGGGCAGGGTAGCCCCAGAGGGAGCGGCGCCCCAGAGAGCGGGACGCGGGCCCTGCACGGCAGCGCCCCGCCCTCTATGGCCCCGCTGCTGCTGCCGCTTCTGGCCGCCCTGCCGTAGTCCCTGGGCAGCTCGGACCATTTTGCTCAGCCCAGACACCTGCAGGCAGCTCCTTATGCCTCGTAGGGTGGCCCCCAGCCTGAGTGCTCCCCGCTCGGAGCCTGCCCGGCCCAGCCACAAGGTGGGGGTGCTGCTCCCCTGCGGCACGAACCTCAGTGGCCCCAGGGCACCCCCTGCACATGACACACTGCTGCTGCCAGGGCCGGCTCTAAGCTTTTGCCACCGGAAGCAACAAAAGAAAAAAAAAAGGCTAGAATGCTGCCCGTGAAAATGTGCCGCCCCAAGCACATGCTTGGTTTGCTGGTGCCTGGAGCCGGCCCTGAACAGGAACATGTTGACCTCTCAAAAATAAGGTCAGATGACAGCATGACGGAAAAAAATGTTTTGATCGAACCAACATGTACAAAGTAAAGGGTGGTAACTAACCATGTCAGAGAGTTGAGTCCATTGTAATGGAAATACATGCGTAAGTGTACATGTAACCATTGAGCCAGGGCATTGGGACCATGTTTCATTGACAATAAACCTGTCTGGGTGCCTTCGCTACTGAAACAGATTTATGGTCTTATTGGGGAGTTCAATCGAGGTCTGCTGTGTTGGCTATCTGAGCAGAGCTGGCACAGCACACAGAAAGAACACACACACAGCCAATGAATAACAACAAGAGGAATATCAAGCACTTTTAGAATAATGATCTCGCCTCTCAACACAACATTGGTAGGACTACTGCTAGAATATTGTGGCCAGTTCTGGTTCCACACTTCAAGAAAATTGTGGAAAGACTGGAGAGACTTCAAAGGAAGGCTATAAAAATGAACCAGGGGCTGGAAAAAAACAAGTTACTAACCTTTCTGTGATGGTTGCTCTTCGAGATGTGTTGCTCATGTCCATTCCATGTTAGGTGTGCATGTGCTGCACAGTCTCAGGAGATTTTTCCCTCAGTGGTATCACAGCTCGAGCACACTCTGGTATCTCATGCTCATGCACTAATATAAAGGACCTGGCTGGCTCTGCACCATCTCATCTCCTTCTTGCTAACTAACTCTTAACCGGGGACAGGAAGGTGGATCGTGGAATGGACATGAGCAACACATCTAGAAAAACAACAGTTATGGAAGGTTAGTAACCATTTATTCTTCTTTGAGTGCTTGCTCATGTCCGTTCCATGTTAGATTACTCCCAAGCAGTACCTTAGGAGGTGGGTTCAGAGACATAAGGATTGCAACACTGCTCTACCAAACCCAGCATCATCTCTAGCCTGCTGGGTGATGGCATAATGGGATGAAAAAGTATGCACCAATGACCAAGTTGCTGCTCTAGAAATGTCCTGAATTGGGAGTGGGCCAGAAATGCTGCTGAGGAAGCTTGAGCTCTCAATAAGTGGGCGGTCAAGATAGGAGGAATTGGGGCACCTGTCTGTTCACCTTTCATCCTATCTGCTATTGCTACAAAGAGCTGTGTTGACTTATGGAATTGTTTGGTCCTTTCTATATAGAAGGCCAGGGCCTGTCTAACCTCCAGTGTGTGTAGAGGCTACTCCTCCCTATTCCTGTGCAGTTTCAGGAAGAATACTGACAGGAAGATTACCATGGAGCTGCAGGACCACCTTCAGGAGGAACACGGCACAGGGGTGAAGTTGTACCTTGTCCTTAAAGAACACCATATCTGGAGTTCTGATGTTAGGGCCCTAGATCTCTGAGACCCTCCTGGTTGAGGTAATTGCTACCAGGACGGCGACCTTCCAGGAGAGGTACAACAAGGGGAACAATGCCAGTGACTCAAAGTGAGGGCCTGTAAGCCTTGACAGGACCAGGTTTAGATCCCACAGTGGAAGGGGTTCACGAATCTGCCGAAAATGCCACATCCTTTAGGGAGGCCCTGGCCACAGACTTCCCTTCCTCCACCAGAGCGGAGAACTCCTATCTGGACTCCTGGGGAAGACAGTCCTTCAATTTAATCAACTCTCAGACATTAGAACTGTGT